CGCCCGCACTATGGGCACCCTCACTATGAGCACCCTCACTATGGGTGCCCGCACTATGGGTCAGAGTGGGACAGATGACCCCCCCCCCCCTTTTTAGAAAAAAATAAATTAATACTAAACACTATTTATATTTGCATGCACTTCATCTCCATAAATCTAAATAGTTGATATCAAAGTAAATCGTATTACTTTGCATTTGAGATCAATGACCAGGGCGGAGAAAGGAAACGACGGGCGTAGGTACCGTGCTAAAGTACAATAGATGTGGAGTAGTTAAGCTTACACCGGCAGAGTTAATGGAAGCACAGGGAAGACAGGATAGCTTGGGAGGCAGGGAGACGCCATGTGGGAGGGGTGGGTGCTGCTGGTGGCGGTCGTCCAATGCATAATTATTTGGTAATGCCGAAATATCAACAGAATGTTTACTAAAATGCTTTAGTGTAACACTTTTCCTGTCGAGGTCGGTAGAATAATATCAGACATCATCAAAACAAAGCTACGGTCATTTGTCTGCAGCCATCTAAATTACAACCACCTAAGTTTTGGATTGCAGGCCTTATTTTGAAACCGAGCACTTGTATTTTGTGCGCATTTTCACGTATGTATCCCCTTTTTAAATCCCATTTAGTAACTTCACTTTTGTTCTTGACTGGCAGGCTGGCGGGACTGGCAAAATCTTCGGATGGTTAACTGACCCACTTTCCGTCTACATATTGAGCTGAAACGTGACACATTGACCTTTGCCAATGCCAACACATACTTTCAAATGTTTAGCCCTAGCAACAACCCTTAACAAATTTACCTTTTTTCAAGGAGCTGATGATGGAAATATAATGCCAATGATTTAAAATAATTTAAAAAATCTGGATAACTGCGCTAAATGAGATTCTTTAAAGAAAATAGGGCAAGTGCGCTTGATGCGAAATATTTTCTTTTGTTTTTCTGAAATAGTTGGTGAGATAAATCTGTGGTGCAAAAGTGGGAGGGTCATTAGAATAAAATATATAGTTCAGGGGCGTGAAAAAAAAGTGCCAGCCTTGTTTGGGGGGTGGGGGTGGCACTAATTGAGATTCTTATAAAGTACGTTACTTGAATGCATATTTTGTCAAAAGTTCAGCCCCCCCCCCCCATTGCTCAATATTACATTTTATAAAGAATTTGTACGGAAAAGTTTGTTTATATTGATTGTTTATTTAACTTCATTTGAGTGGGGTTTATTCCTCGTAAGTAACTTCTAGGGGAATTAACATGTTGGCCCAACTTAAATAATTTTTTAGGAGGTATACGTCCATACACGCTTGAATAAAATATAAATACCGCAATCTCGTAGAGATACCTGATAATAATAGTTTCATTGGCCTCAAAGTTACTGAAATCTTCTGCTGACATGAAAATCGTATTTGTTTGTTTCTTTAAAACCCGTTACTTGGTTTTGATAAGAATTCCAAAAAGTGCTCTAGAATAAGGAATATTGATAAAAAAGATTCTATATTTTGTGTCCAGAAACTGACCAGTTTAACTTTGATAAAAAATATTGAATAACATCTTATTATAATTATAGCATAACTACTTCTAACTAAAACAAGGTTGGCCGATTATATTATATAGTTCTTTACTATACAATTGTTTGATGTTTGCTTAGAGAGTAAGCTAGAGTTGGTTAAGAGTAAACTTAGATATAATTTATTAGGAGAGTATGACTTATGAATTGTACTGAATAGTCCATAGCTTAAATTTTAGGCCTTAATAGTACTAATCACTAATAATCGCAATTGTAGATGAATGAAAATTTCTACCAGTGACCGCAGACCGCTATGGTAGTCTGAAACCGTTTTAATCATAGCATGTTATACATAACTATGACACTTTGTTGTCATAAATGCAATTAATTATAACGATGGTGTCTAATTAAAGAGAATTGAGATTGCTATACAAATATATTATGTTGTTATTAATAAATATTAAGAAAAAAGCTCAACGATGGTTAAAAGGCTAAGCTATAGTTGCGAGAATATTTTTACCTTTTCGTATTAGAGATTTCTCACCATCACTAAGCTCAGAGTAAGCTGTGTCAAGTCCAAAGCTCAAAACAAAGCGAACGAAATCTGTTGTAAAATGTGTGTGTTGGCGTTGGCCTCATTCAAATCAGTGCTTCAATACGCATGATTGCTGTGCCTGGGAAAAAAAACCTACAACATCTCTTTAAACACTATTACACAAACATTACGTAACACTGCACACTGCCTACGTTTTTACTTGTGAGTAATGAGTAATGTAAGGCAGTTTTAATTGCTTCACCACCACCACTACACATCTCCTGTGTTATGCACGACTCCATGATCCATTTTCTCTCCGTGCCGCCAGCCACACATTTTACTGGTATATAGACACAACACGTATGGGTAGAGGTTTAATGGTGGCTGGTTGACAACACACCGCCGTTCATTCAAGCTATTGAAAAAGCAAATAACACAGAAAGGGGTTAAAAGCGGGAGGGGCGGAAAGCAAATGTTATGGGTGTGTAGCTTTTTTTTTTTGGTCAATGGGAGATAACCGAGAAAAAAAAAAGGATAAATCACTAAGGATATTTTGAAATAGTTTAAATTATTACGACAAAAATAAAAAAAGGTGAAAAAGGGAGGAATTTGATGGAATGAAAAAAAAAAAAAAAAAAAAAAAAAAAAAAAAAATTAAAAAAAAAAAAATAAAAAAAAAAAAAAAAAAAAAAAAAAAAAAAAAACACAAAAAACCAACAACAACAACAAAAAAACCTTAAAATCCAAGTCGTTCGTATAAATACGTTGTTTGAATTCTTGTGCGACTTTGCGATGGATCCAGTTCTTAAGAGATTACCGCGCGTTTCCTTCAACTTCCCTTTAAAAAAAAAAAAAAAAAAAAAAAAGATTTTTTTGGTGTTGGGGGTGGGGAATGGGGTAAATGATTTAATAGAATGTGTTGTCACCGGAAACGAGTTTATGTGGAAAGTTTCAGCTTGATAGGATGACGCGAAGTGGATTTATTAGCCGTCCAAACATTTTGCCTTAAATAAACACACGAACGAAAGCGAAGTTAGTATAAAGGATTTAAAAACGTGTGATCGCTTAGTACACAATCATTTTCAGCATATTTACAAGGACGCAGACAGTCAACAGGCGATTGTCTAAACAAATTTTAACAGGAACAATTGAATATTATAATAGACTGTTTCAAACTCCAAAAACGTCATTCTTTGTCGCCTTCCCGTCAGTGGCGTAGCGAGGGTGTTTGGCGCCCGGGGACAAGATTCGCGCCCGGGGACAAAATTCGCGCCCGGGGACAAAATCCATTTTTAGCGCCCCCTTTTCCTTTTTTTTTCAACTCTCAAACCCATTGTTTTCATCAATAAAATAATATCAAAGCACATTTTGGCGTCCTAACTAGCTGGCGCCCGGGGACATCTGCCCCCCCCTGCCCCACCACGCTACGCCTCTGCTTCTAGTCCTTAATTAAGCCTTAATGTAATAAAAATCTGTATCGTTATCAACCGGCTTGATCGTGATTGGCGCGTACATTTGCGTACATTCGCGTACATTCGCGTACATTCACGCACATTCACGTACATTCGCGTACATTCACGTACATTCACGTACATTCACGTACATTCGCGTACATTCACGTACATTCACTATATTCATGTTATATACAATTAAACATTCACCTAAGATATAGTAAATTTAAGATCAGCTCATGTGTTTTAAAAATAAAAACAATTGGGGGTGGGGGAGGGTGTGTAGGTGGTTGGGTGTGTGTGTGTGGGATGGGGGAGTTCTGTGGGATGATTTACAGTTGATACCTACAGACAAAGCAAACTGTTGCTCCATTTTATAATTGGACCTATTTGTTTAATTTCCCGAACAGCTTGGGGGGAGGGGGGGCACCTTTTTTTGTTGTAAAGGTTGTGTAGGTGTTTTTGTGGGTGTCGGGGAAAGGGGGGGGGCGGGGGCATGAGTTAGTCATTCTCTTAACACTACACACACGGCACTGAGCACGGATAAGGCTTCTATTAATTGCTGTTCGCTGATAAAAAAAAACCCGGCTCACAATCGCGTAACCTAACAAAAGGTCGAAGGTCATGACATTGTTTGGTTGCGCCAATGCTGTTGTGAGTAATGAGTAATGATCAGATGCCACACGTTGGGCTGTAACTTTAACTGTAACTAACTGTAAATGTTACTGTAACTAAATAAAAATGTTCTAGTTCAATGCAAATTAAAAAAAAAAAAATTGTTCTTCGTAAACTCAGCATTTTGTTAGTTAATTAAAAATTATGTTGATTGCAGAAAATAACCCAGCGGATAAAATCATCTGTTTATATTGTTATTAATTGTTTTTTTTAGTATTTATATTTTTAATAATATCGTGTTTTGTTTAGTATTTATATTTTTAAAATAATATCGTATTTTGTTTAGTATTTATATTTTTAAAAATATCCTGTTTTGTTTAGTATTTATATTTTTAAAATAATATCGTGTTTTGTTTCATATTTATATGCCATAATTAAGTGAAAATTTTTGAAAAAGCGGGGGCGGGCGAAAATTTTGACTGACTAGGGCCTCTAAGGGTTTTAATAGGGCTCTGCTCGACGGAATTCTTTTTTTTTGTTGTTTATTTGTTTCTATATTTCTATTTATAATGTATTTTCCGAATCTTGTAATATAAAAAATTAATCAAATACAACGTTATCAACAGAGTCCACACATACAGCCTTACTTACAAAACATACAGTTATGATAATATTAATTAGGAGAAAAAGATTTTCTGTTAGTTTTTATATTTGTAATCTTAAATTAAACACAACACAACACACTCACGGGCAATTGATAAATCATAAAGCGCAGCGAAAACCATCAAAGCTCACCACAGAGAACAAGTCAATGGAAGTTTTAAATGACATCTTTATTCAATAAAGAAACTGAACTAGACAAATGTTCAAAAACATATTTGAAATAAAGGTGTATGTTGTGTCATTTATTTTTATGTCAAGTCACATATTGGCTTACTTGATTTCAATGTGCTAATGTCTGGTAGGTTTTTAAGACTTGATCATAAATGCTAAGAATTATAATTATCCTCTTTATATGTGGCAGAAGTTTATCGCCTAATAAAACTGAAAGAACTTCAGACAAGCAAACAAATAAAAAAACACCACCAAGACTAGCCGACATCCTTTCTGAAAAATATTTCAAGGAATCTGAGACGGAACTTGGAACTCATATTGTAGTAAACGACGAAGTTGATACTGGAGTTGACCGTCTCCAGGACGTTGGCCACCGACCACACGACGATGTAAATGTTCTCATACCTGCCCCCGTAACTGTACTGGGGCTCGTACGCCATCATGAAGAAGATCAGAGTCGTGGGGATGTAGCAGATCACGAAGATCGTGGAAATAAGCGCCACCATTTTCACCACTTTTCTGTCCTTGACGGAGACGGTCTGCGACTGCTTCGCGGTGTTGGCGACGGAGGTCAGCCGCCATTTTACTTTCGAGTTTAGTTTGACGATCAGAACGAGGGTGCAGACGAACACGAAGGCGATGACGAAGGCTGACATGGCGACGCTGTAGATGAAGAAGGTGGCCGTCTCGACCGCCTCTCTCTCCTCGGAGTAGCGTATGGCCAGGATGGTGGCGTTACGCTGGGGGCTGAAGGTCCACGTCAGGCGGTTGACGTAGAAGAGCGGGGAGAAGAGCGCGAACAGGAGGACGAAGATGGCGAGGACGATGACCTTGGTGCGGGACGGGGTGATGATGACCTTGACCTTGAGCGGCACGGCGATGCAGATGCATCTCTCAAACGTGATGAAAGCCGTGATAAAACTTGTAATTCTTTTTTTTTTTTTTTTTTTAAAGAAAAGAAGTGGAAAAATAAAATAGTTCTAAGAACAATCAATGAGTAGCTTAAAATACTTTAACGGAAAAAATGGAAACATTCGTTGTAGAAAAAGAGAAGAGGGAATTTTTTTTTTTTTTTTTAAAGAAAAGAAGTGGAAAAATAAAATAGTTCTAAGAACAATCAATGAGTAGCTTACAATACTTTAACGGAAAAAATGGAAACATTCGTTGTAGAAAAAGAGTAGAGGGAAAAAAATGTAATGTGAAATGTATAAATACTTTTAACAAGAAAGTAAAACGGTTCCTCTTTACAACGTAAGAGCCTAGTTGTATTCTTGGGACTATTTCAATAGTAGCCAACACAAGTCAAAGAGAACCAAACTACTTGTTAAGTATACATATTATTGCTCTCACTTGTTAAAGCAGGCGTGTGGCCATGCGCTCGTGATGTACATGACGTCCATGGTCTGGAAGGGGAGGTCACTGCCGGAAAACAACGGGTTATAGCAGATGCTGGACCACATGATGGTCACGAGTCCGCCGAGGTCAGATATAGCGAGTCCTGAATATGAGAATACGTTTAACACAAAGATCGTTTGCTATCAGATTGTCACATCTACAAGAGTTGAAGACACTGGAATTAAGTATTATGTGTTACAGAGGACTGGGTACTGACCGACACAACTCTGACATTCTAGGGTGCATTTAATCTCACTATGAATAATATACCTTTTGATAGTTATTCTGATCGATTTAAATTCAATATCTACTGTATACATCAAATACTTGACACTATTGCACCAATGTTAAATAATTTAAATGAACACATCACTGACTCATGTTAAATGATATGTCCAAATGAACACATCACTGACTCATGTTAAATGACATGTCCAAATGAACACATCACTGACTCATGTTAAATGACATGTCCAAATGAACACATCACTGACTCATGTTAAATGACATGTCCAGATGAACACATCACTGACTCATGTTTAATGATATGTCCAAATGAACACATCACTGACCCATGTTAAATGATATGTCCAAATGAACACATCACTGACTCATGTTTAATGATATGTCCAAATGAACACATCACTGACTCATGTTTAATGATATGTCCAAATGAACACATCACTGACCCATGTTAAATGATATGTCCAAATGAACACATCACTGACCCATGTTAAATGATATGTCCAAATGAACACATCACTGACTCATGTTAAATGACATGTCCAAATGAACACATCACTGACTCATGTTAAATGACATGTCCAGATGAACACATCACTGACTCATGTTTAATGATATGTCCAAATGAACACATCACTGACCCATGTTAAATGATATGTCCAAATGAACACATCACTGACTCATGTTAAATGACATGTCCAGATGAACACATCACTGACTCATGTTAAATGATATGTCCAAATGAACACATCACTGACCCATGTTAAATGATATGTCCAAATGAACACATCACTGACTCATGTTTAATGATATGTACAAGGCAAAAAAAAACATAAACAACAACAAAATGAAAAATTGATTCAACTCACATACAAAGTAATGTCTTATAAATACCCCCCCCCCCACTTCAATTCACCCACTAAGTAATTATAAATACCTCACTACTTCAACTCACCCACAAAGTAATATCTTATAAATACCTCCCTACTTCAACTCACCCACAAAGTAATGCCTTATAAATACTTCACTACCTCAACTCACCCACAAAGTAATGTCTTATAAATACCTCACTACTTTAACTCACCCACAAAGAAATGTCTTATAGATACATCCCCAATTCAACTCACCCATGAAGTATTGTCTAATAACTACTTCCCAATTCAACTCACCCACAAATGTGATATTCATACAATCTTGGAAGCCTTGTTTGACAAAGACGATGATGTTGACGATGTTGGCACCAATTCCCAGGAGACTGATGACACCGCACAGGATGACAAAGTTGAGAATTTCCAGCAGCTTTCGAATTTCATCACTGATGAACTCTGGTGCGGCTCTGTGCAATACATGGGTTATCTCCCATTGGCTAGCATTGTCCGCCATTGACCGTTAGCCAGGGGTTAAGGTCAGGTAGTCACACGCACAACAGAACGTCGTGCTAACAATATATTTAGCTCTTAACCTTTCTGTTATCTAGTGACAAAATGTACCAATAAAGTGTTATATATATATATGTATATACATATATATATATATATATATATATATAGATGGACGATTAAATAATTCTTACTCACGCAAACAAGATCAACAATAAAAGAACAAATAACACCAAGTCACGTGGGTTGGGGCGTAAAATCATTGTTAAGATGGTTCTCTTGTAGGAAGGGGCCTTTAATTGAATAAGAGGTCAGTAAAGATGGGTCTCTTGTAACAAGGGGCCTCTAATTGAATGCGAGCTCCGCAAAGATGAGTCTCTTGTAACAAGGAGCCTCTAATTCAATGCGAGCTCCGCAAAGATGAGTCTCTTGTAACAAGGGGCCTCTAATTCAATGCGAGCTCCGCAAAGATGAGTCTCTTGTAACAAGGGGCCTCTAATTCATTGCGAGGTCTGCATGGTTTAGAAATTGGCTGTAAATCTCCGTGTCCATCAGCGATAGATATAGGTAAACGTCACTGATAAGTTGAGCCAAAGTTTGCGAAGGGTTTAGTGGCGTTGTCTTCTGTATGAAAGGGTGTATTTCCTTCAAGACACTCGGATACTGACTCGAGGAATGCCTTGTTAATAGTAGCTATTTTAAGATAAGCTATAATGTGTTGGTATTTATTACATACCGTGTAATCAAGACCATGTAAACAAATTTTCACAGAAGCAAGGAAACGTTGAGATCAAAAGATATATGTAACAAAGATAATGTGTTATTTCTAAAGACTAAAAGTACTTTTAAATGTGTTTTTCTTTGTAATAAATTACCCCGTCCGGTTAACCAATTATTTTTAACATTTGTAAGTGTAATGATTAAAACATTATCTCAAGTTAAACATATTTGCTCATATTGTACAATGGACTTTAATTAGAAACTTGTACGTGTCATGTGGTCTATATACAGGAAAGGAACCGATTATATCTTTGTTTCAAACGACCACTACAATTTGTGAGCAGAGCTCTGTCAATTCATTTCATGAATTAGACGAAATGTTGACATGTAGCCAACTTGTCAATAAATCCAATCCATGATATCATTACCGGGTTGTGTTTCAAGGATATTGACACAGACTTGTCTGTCGGTCGTTTTATGTGGACATTAATGAGAAAATTGCCAATTATTTTTAACAGTTAAGTGGAATTAGTGAAGTAGTTAGAGGGAGATAATTTTTACGTAAAGATACAAAGTTTGATTGACGATGGTATAATTTTGTGAAAAATAATGTGTTTTAAATGATTTAACATAATTTGAGTTTACAAAATATTATTCTTTAAAAATTAAAGTATTCCACGTTGAGCAAAAGGCCAACACGAAAAATGCATAAAGCATGACACGTGAGCAGAGCTTATGTCACTGGAATAAAAGATTGTGAAATTTTATGAGCGTTACGGTCTCAAATGTTTCAACCAGTTTTTTCAAAATACGTTTGAAATTCTTTTGCTACAATATTGTTATCTTTATTGTAAGCTCATCAACGCAATTGGTCAGTTTTGTGTCAAGGAAAAGAACATGTTGTGAAAATAGGGGATGTCTGAAACGACCAGGCTAAAAATAAAAAAAAAGTTACCAACACGCTCTGCTTTAAAGGTTCTCTACATTTCAAAATTTCATTCAAGTAGAGGGAGAGCGAATTTCGGTTTCGGCGCCGAAAGTTGCCATACGATCATTTTTGGCGTAGTTTCGGGTTCGGTCGAAACAGAAAAGTTAACTATCAATAGATTTTCGGTTTTGGCCGAAAGTGATTTAAGCTTTCGGTCGTCTGCCAGAAGGCAGACTGTCAAGCTGTCTGTCTGTCAGCCGGCAGTCCGATATTCATTATTGCTCGACGTCTTGCTGTCATGGTATGATGCTTGACAAATCCTCTCACAATCGGAACACCGCTCACAGCTGTATGATGACGTATTAGTAAAATATTAAAAAAATAAAAGTACTATTAGACTTAGGTAAAAGGTTTTGTGAAAAAGGAAATAACTAAGGGAATGGTAATATTTCTTTTTTTGTGTATTTTTTGTTTTGTTTTTGTGGAAAAAAAAATTTTTTTGGAACCATAGGTGTATTGAATTCATTCGTGGCACGTGAGCAGTTGATTAGTGTAGCGGGACAGCTGTATGCCGACCAGCGAGGCAACGTACCGGGACAGCTGTCTGCCGACCAGCGAGGCAACGTACCGGGACAGCTGTCTGCCGACCAGCAAGGCAACGTACCATTACAGCTGTCTGCTGACCAGCGAGGCAACGTACCTGGACAGCTGTCTGCCGACCAGCGAGGCAACGTACCGGGACAGCTGTCTGCCGACCAGCGAGGCAACGTACCGGGACAGCTGTCTGCCGACCAGCGAGGCAACGTACCGGGACAGCTGTCTGCCGACCAGCGAGGCAACGTACCGGGCGATAACGAGAAGAAACTGTTCTAAACTACACCATTCGTTTGTTTGACTTCAATTGCTAACCGATTAACGCTGAACTCTCTGCCATGTAACGACTCTTACTATTATTTCTTGATTATTGATTACCTTCTAATAGTAATTAAAGTATTGTTGATAATGTTGAGTTTTGTATTGAATCACTGTTTCTCGTAATAGTTTATAAATCTTGTGCTGGGTTACTGTATATATCAATAACCCTTATCAGTATAAATAAACCCAGTTTATTGATCTGGTTTTATTGATATATTTATTTTTATAAATGTTTTGCCACTGATGTTTTTTATTAGTTTATAAAAAATCCCTTCACTTTTTGTATTTTATTTCATAATTTACCTAAGTCCTAGTGGGCGCACTGTATAACACCTATGTAATGTAAATAACGTCCAAGTAATATTCGAGTATTTCACACTTTGACACTTCAAAACATATTAAATTTATAAATCTACATCATGATCCCAAATTTCATCGTGTTTCTTGTCTGAAAAATAAATCAAAACGGGAACTCTCTCTCCCCCCCCCCCAACCTAATGTTAAAAATAAGGCAACCCATACTACTCACTGTTTGGGTGGAGCTTGCCCTCACTCATCTTTCATCAGCAGTGAATCAATCAACACGTTTACTTCTTGTAACTCTGAATAAAAAATAGTGACAACAAGGCTGCGACCACAAGCATCATTCGTTATTCGTGTTAACTTTCATTTTGGATGGATGAAACAATCTCTGCCAGAGCACTACATAAAGGACAGACAAATCCCCTTCTTGGGCTCTTCTAAACTCTATGAATTTACTGTCTGCCATATTTCTGAAAATTTATTCAATGTCAATCGACAAATCGCAGTTCTACATCATGGTCTCTGTTGTTTTAGTCGAATTATATTCAACATTTTAAACATGAACAAAGACTTTTATATCAGGTAGACAGGGGTCACCAGACTTTTTTCACCGCGGGGCGGATAATCATCGTGTACAATACTTGCAAGCCAGAACGAAATCTATGGCGATAGAAGAAGAAAAACTTAGTTTAGCATTACATGTTAATCTTGGGTGAGTGGCGTGCACTGTACTAAAAAAAAATTAATAAAGACAACCAACATATTTATTTACTACAAAAGTTATCAAAGAAGGTGACGTTAGCAAAAAGATAGTTAATTCAGGAATAGTGTGCACATATTCGAATCTCACAAACTAAGCAGTAAAAAAGGTTAGTGAGATTCGGGAAGCTTACGTTTGGCTTTCAAGACATCATCAATGTTTGGTTTGGATTTGCTGCTTCCAATCAAGAGGATTGCTTTCAAATGTTTATCAGTCACTGTCATTCGATCTGTTGACTTCACATACTTTGACTGCCAGGTCGGAACTGAAAGCAGTGGATCAGCTCTATCTTTTAGCAAGCAAATTCAAGTACCGTCGGCGGGCCGGACGACCTGACATCGCGGGCCGGACATCGTGGGCCGGATCCGGCCCGCGGCCGTAGTTTGTTGACCCCTGAGGTAGATGAACTACCCGCCATATATCGACAAGATTTCAATGTCTCGCCAGTATTTCCTGCACATACACCTTTAAGAAAGTTGGTTCATAATGTCTTCAAAACGTGTCATCCCGAGGAGAACGCAAGTTTGCCGCCTTGTCCTCCAATGAGCGTAGCAATTTCTTGTTAAACAAAACAAACAAACGAAAAGAAAACCCTGTGCCCTTCAATTACGATTACTCATTGAATCCCAGATTTTATGTAAAGTAAAATAAACGTTTGATTTTTTTTTTTTTTTTAAATATAAATTTTTCTGGTTCAAATAAATCCATTTAGATCTAGAAGTTAAATCATTTGAAGGTTTATTCGGGCGCCACCTGCTGGACGGTTTTGTTGGTAACGAGATACTTGACCCGTGACGTAACGAAATGGTAAACATACTTTTAGTTTAGCCAAAGCGGGACTGTCTACTCCCCTCCCCTCCCCCTTCCCCCGTTTCAATTTTTAAAGACGACCTGGGATCGACCTTTGTCACGCAGCCATTCTCAACATAACGGATTTAAAGTCCCACATTACCACTCTGAAAATCTTGCATACACCCTTTCATTGATTTCCTATTATATTACAAGACACTTTGTGTGGATCCAAACTTTTGCAGTTAGCGACGGGAATTCGGATTCGAACGCTCGAGTCGTACTCGTTTCCCCGTCTCTTCAATACACATCGTTAAATAGCCAAACAAATACAAGCTGCAGGGCCACGCTCTTACAAGACCATGCGACAGTTGCCCACAAAGGACTACAAAACTTGCGTGGTGTCATGTTTCGTAATCGAGATATTCATTCAGAATCGTAGGTCTCCGCAGTCTTTCTATCGCAGTGTTGGCTTCAACGAATGCCTTTCGGTTCTTATCGATTACACTGTTGGAATATTTCCTAGAAGTACAGATCACATTGAATTTCGTTGTTGTCTTAAACCGTCAGTAGGCCACTGTCTGGCTTAGAATTGGTCCAGTATCAGCCATTGGAGTAGTAAGATAAAGGAACGCTGATCTTGTGATAATGTGCACTGGAACTGTTCGAGGAGCCAGGCTTGGCTTATTGCTGTCAAGCATCTTTTTGATGGTAAGATACTAATTTTGTTAGGTTCAATCGAATGGCATGTATAGGAGCAAGAGAAAGGCAACGAATACATAATTAAATAAGGCGCTTACCGATTTTTATTGACCGTATCGTTAAAAAAACAACCATCACCACCAGTGAGATTTATGGAGACCAACTGTTGTGAATATTTCAGATAGATTCAGATAGTTTAATATAATTCTCGATGTCTCCAAATAGTTTCAGATATCTTTCGTTGTCTCCATAAAATCTCGCATCATTTCAGACAATTTCAGATAGTTAGTTTCAATGATATATAAAGAATTTGTTTATAGAAAAGTCAACGGACACTTCTACTCGCTCGTCTCAGCCTCAGACATTACACAAAAAAACACTAAACGACTTGAGAATGTCACGTTATGTAATTGGAAAAAAGATTAGTTTCTTTTTAAATTTTAAGCCCAAAGATATAATATGTTGTCGATTTTTCGTACCTAACTTAACTGATTTCACGTTATGTATGGTTTGCGAAATAGATAGTTAATTAAAGAAGATAAAAAGTTGTTCTTTATGTATATTTTAATATGAAACGATGAAACGTGTAAAGAAATGTTTACCGCAAGGATACTTCCGTAATGCAAGGATTCTACAGTAATGAATTTGTTTTCTCTACATTCCAATAGATCTCTCATTCCAGTGATTGGCTAAAGGGAAGGGTAGTCATGAGACGCGATAAGAGCTCTATATTTTAATTAAAAACATATGGAGACAGATTTAAGACTTTTTTTTGCAAACTTTTTTTGACGAACCTGACGACGCGTAGCTCACCGTAAGTTTGGTTGCAATGGTGACACGCGATATGATTTTTAGTTAGGTCAAGTTAGTGGCAGTTTTTCCAAATCTGGTCACGTGACTCGTTAGCATAAATCTTTCAATGTTTTCCCGTGAGTAATTCTCCGTTTTGTGGCAACGAACTCCCCCATCCCGTACCTTCTCCACCAAAGGCATAAGGGACAACGACCTGGTGTGCCTTGAAAACGCATGAATTGATTTACTTGACTAAACTGTGATTATCTCATTCAGTGTACACTTTATTTGATATGATCGGTAGTGGAAGATTGGTATCATCATAGCATTTTTTTTTTTTTTTTGATTTAAATGAGTTAAACAACTGTACACGCACGATTAAATCTATTAGATAGTCTTTAATTCATTTAATAGGAAGATCTTGATGTTAAAAAAAGTATGTTTTTTCTTCAGATAATCTCAATGGCTTGTCTCGGTGGCGGCATCGTGCTGGTCATGGGAAGGTCCGTCTACGGGAGTGAACTGAAATGGCTGCAGGATGAACTCACGGGGTCATCGAAGTCTCTCGGGGTGAGCAACCTTGACGTCAGCAAACTCGACGTCATCTTCATCACCCTCCCGCTGGGCGCCGTCCTCATCCTCTTCGGACTCCTCATGCTCGTCATCAGCATCCTCGGCACCATCGCGGCCTCCGGGCAGTTCTACAAGTTTGTCATCGTCTACCTCGTGCTCATCTCGTGCCTGTTCTTCACCCAGACCGTGGTCATCATCTGCGCGTACATTGACCGGACGCCGTTCGACAGCACGGTGAAAAACCTGTTGAAGTACACGCTGGAGGGCTACGCGGGAGACACGGGGACAGACGGGCTGACCCTCGGCTGGAACGCCGTCATGTCCTACAAGAAATGCTGTGGGGTGGACAGCTACGGCGATTTCGCCGTGTCGACCGCCTGGACCCCCAAAACGCTCGGGGGTGAAACTTTAGTGACCCCTGGTATATGCTGTATCGTTAAAGTTAATCCACCTGCATGCGCCAACAATGTCAAGTACAGCACAGACACCTACCACAACCGCGGGTGCTACCAGCACATCTGGGACCACGTCACGTCCAACACGGGGCTGATCATCTTCACCGTGTTCTTCATCGTGTTGTTGGAGTTCCTCTGCATCTTCTTCTCTTGCTGGATTCTCTGCGGCGTTTGCAGCAGGGGAGCCAGTAAAGTTGATCCTTACCGATACAACTGAAATGAAAATGACAAACAAAACCTCCCATACACATTGTGGAGCTAAATGACATCACAATGAGGGTTCTTTGAGCACTTGCCAATCTTTTCAGAAAGCGTACAGTTAATAATGAAATCACGAGCATCAGAGTTTTTAATATTTTAAATTGAAGCAAAGAGTATTTCTTTAAATCACATAATCCTAGCATGTATCATTAGACACCGGCTTAAGCAGGTGTTTGACTTTATATGTTTTGTTTTGTTTTGCTGTGAAATAATATTCAAGGCATTTTGTGCATCTTGAGATTTCAACACGTTCAAGACATTTGGTCAAGACAATGACGTCGACGACCGTATCAATTCATTGTGAGTTTACCCTGACACAACATAGTGGGAAACGTCTGCTATATTCTACGGTCTAACTCTAAGCCATATTTTCAAATTACTTTTAAAAAAATGCATACTTGCAGCTTCCTCGAGCCATAGAATATCAAACTACTGAGAGTTTCTGCTGACCTGTTAACTGTCTCACACTTGCTAAAAAAGGGAGCTGGTCTGCACGAGACAACCCGGAAGTACTCACCTGCAGGAAATTATTATTTTTTTATTTTACAAGAAAAGCTAAATTTTTAATTTTTTTTTGTTTGACAGTATAGGTGTTTATCCGATGTTCAGAGGTCCATTTCACGTAAGCATCATTTTAAAGCTCATTTTATGGTCCAATGGAATTTTTTGGTACGCAATTATTGTTTTGTTTCGCAAGCCCGTAATTACATTAAACCTAAGGATGATTTTATAGGAGAAAACTTTGTTCAATTGTTCCGTACCCGATAAAAGATAGTATCGATATTTCAACGCCAACTGGTATCAAGAAAAAAGTTTCCACGTGAACCCCAAAACTAAATTTGAAATGTAAAACCTAGAGTGTCACTTGGTTGTGTCACGTACACGTTGTTATGTGACAAGTTCAAACATTTCAACTTAATTCTAATTATATTTTAAAGAATATCAATAAATCTTTTTGTGATGTCTATATTCATATATGATTCTACTTTACTTCATGTAGATTATATATTCCTTTCATTGCATAGTTTAAGAATAGCTATTTGTAATTAACTAAGCTTACTTTTTTCATGAAAAAGAGACTGGAATATAAAATATTTACTCAAATATATATAGACAAAAAGTCCGAGAGACTAAAAAAGTTTGTTAAAAAATGTCTGAATTATGTATTTGAGAATATGACAGCTAATTTCTCGTGTATTCATAATCATATACAATTTCCCCTGCGTTTATTTTATCCTTTCTCAAAAGATGGGGACATATTATCTTCTGGTCTGTACCAGTTAAGAAGTCAAGTCAGAGTTTGCAATATCGTTGACTGCATCTCCACCCCCCCCCCCTTTTTAAATTTTTTTTTACCCCAACCCGTTATTTAGAAAACATAAAATTTACAGACATGAAAAATATAAGCAGTTAAGTCATTATGTAAACAACTTATGTCATTCAGACAGTGCGTGCATCATTCAGCAGTGCGTACATGATTCAACAGTGGGTACATCATACAGCAGTGCGTACATCATACAGCAGTGCGTACATCATACAGCAGTGCGTACATCATACAGCAGTGCGTACATCATACAGAGCTCCCATGGACGGGCGCCGTTGCTAGACTTACGTTGCCAGTCAGCACAGCATCAGTCGATAAAATGTGAGTAAAGTTAAAGGTTGAAGTCTCGTTTCGGCACAAAAATGAATAAATCGCCTTCGTCTTAAGCATCAATTAAACAACCCTTAAAACAAGGGTTTTCGTATAAATCCTTTATAAAACTGAATATGGAGCTGTGGCGGAGGGGGGTGAAAATTCGACAAAACATGCATAGAAGTAACGCTTTTTATAAGACTCCCAAATAGTTCCCCCGCCCCTAAGGCTCTCAACCACACATTTTTTCCCGCCATTGAACTCTATCAATATTCTAATGACCCACACAGTTTTACACCGCAGATTTATTACAACAACTCTTTCAGAAAAACACAATTACGCACCAAACGCAAAAGCGATATCTTCTTAAAAAGAATCTCATTTAGCACAGTTATGACTTATGTTTCTTACATGGTCCCCTTGAAAAACAACAAATACTGATTGTGGGCGGCTAGAGGGGTGGGTGAGGTGGGGCTGAAAATTATTTTTTTTTCCCCATCACAAACAAGTCTATATGCCAAGTTTAAGCTCGATCGGTTGACGGAAGTTATTTAGCAGTCCAAACATTTTGTCTGCAAGGCAGCAAATCACGAACAAAAAAGAAGTTAAAATAAAGGATTTAAAAATACCTCACACTGCACGCACCAAGAGGACGGAGTCGGATTAGCTGACGCTAAAACAGTTTTAAGAAATGTGAGACTATCAATTAAATTACCGCACAAAACAAGGTAAAACCAATTAATAAAAAAATTCTGGCATTACAAAATCACGCCTAATCTGGCAATCCCAAGGAATGTTTCTGTGAAGAGACAAAATGTCAGGTGACACACGGAGCAGTTAGACACGGCAACTCAATTCACGTGAACGGAGTGGGGCAATTTTCCTTATCAAAATTTTGCATACCTGATACATCCCTGAGCTAAATCCCCTTACTTCAGCAGTTCTTAACAAAGGTTGTGGAGCAAGTTTTTTTTTGTCCACTCTGCGCTCCGATCAAATTTAAGTTAACTCCAGCTCCGCTCCAAAGTCCACTATGAGCTCCCGCTAAATTAAAAAAAAAATCAAATATTAGATTCGCAGATGATCCGTGTTAAGTCTACTGAGCTCTTTTGTTCCTTCATTGTTAATGTAAATGTGTCCATTATGACTAAATTAGGCATTTATAGTTATCTTGTGTACAACAGGATTAATTATTCACAACATTAATGTGCAGTTACTTCATTGCAAGATTTACACTGAAATTTAACGTACTCAAATGATCAATAGTATTATTTTATCTGGGAAAGGGGAAATGGTGTTTGACGGGGTGCTAATGTTTAAAGAAATATGTTGATTATTGTCACTTAGCCAGCTTATTAACTTGGCTTTAGAAATGCTTGTACGGCAATATAGCTGAAGAAGTGTGTGACGATAAGAGTTGCAGAAGAGTTGGACAACACATCGATTTCAAAGCCCTTCTCCTGTACTCGAGACCATAAAAAATACGAACGTAATTCAAATAATTCTGATTTTGTGGGTCTTTCCGCACCCCTTCCCCCTTGAAACTGACCACACACCTCCTGACAATGGATCCCGTACGACCAAGGGGCGAGTACACCCCTTGTCAATAAAGCCTTGTCGTACACGAAGAAACCTTTTATCAAGGGGGTAAGTTTTATCCGGTTCAGGGCCTGGACTGCTTTAAAAAAAAAGTGTAACAGCCTTTCCAAAAAATACTATTAATGGCAAGCGTTAATGGTCCAAGTTAATCACTTCCTATCGAATTGGCTGATGACGAGTTAAATAATATTTTATGACATTTTTAAGGTTCAACAAAAAAAAACAAGAACAGGATTAATAAATCTGGCATCGGTCACTGGTGCAATGGAAACTTGTCAACCTGTCCTCAAATCTTAAAAAATTGGGGAAATCTGCTTTATATAACTTTCATATTTGCCTGTATTAGAAAAGTAAAGGTTGTTCTCGATTTAAGGGCATGGAATTTAACATTGGAAGATAATTCAAGAACCAGAACTCAAGACAAACGGTTATCAAAATTTAAAGTTGTGTTTAATCACTTTAATAGAATAAAATCTTAAAGAAATCTCTTTAGACACATGCTCCTCTATATTGGCTGTTCATTAGACACATGCTCCTCTATATTGGCTGTTAATAGTGTTTTAAAAATAGAAATATCTGAATTCTAAATTGTAAGAAAGCATCAAGGAAGACAGTTTAACATGAGATCAAATTAGACTCCGAACAGGTGTGTTAGTATTTTTATGTTTTGTACCGATCAAAATAAACAAATGTAGCTTGACATCATTTCACACTTGGGGTCGATTACCAAAAAGAACAAAACACCAATGACAGCCCATGAGCAGAAACTCCAACTAGGACATCAGTAGTACAATGAAATGACCAGTTCTAACAAACACGTTCATTGACTTATTAAAACAGATATAATTTCTTGTTACGAACAGTTTTCTTAGTTCTTCACGTCCAAAAATAGATTTTCATGACTACATTTTTGCTGATCCTTTGGTCAGATGATCACATCCTCGTCATTTCAAACAAAAAACATGCTTTGATTTTTAAAAATATTATCAATATTATGTCGCGTGAATTTTGAATTTAAAAAAATAATCTTATTGTAATGTTAATATATTATTAAAAAGAAACATATGATCTTCGAATATGTCTTAAAACTAATCAACATTTTCCCCACAAAAATTGAACTCTGTTGCTCTAACCATTGAAAAGTTTGCATAGAATCTATGGCATTGAGTGGCATATACGACACATGAAATGATACAACAGTGGTCGGCTCAGTTGTAGCGGGAGTAGTGTCCAACCTTGGTCGGACCTTTACTCCGGCGGTTGCAGAGGATCCACGAGGCGAAGAATATACAGAGGAACTCCAGCAGCACGATGAAGAAGACGGTGAAGATGATGAGCCCCGTGTTGGACGTGACGTAATCCCAGATGTGGTCGTAACACCCTCGGTTGTAGTAGGTTTGGGTCTGGTAGTTGGCGGTGAGGGTGCACGTGAAGGCAGCAGCCTTCGTTATGCAGCACATCCTGGGCGTCTGTTGGAGCGCCACCTTGGTCCAGCCCGTGGCCACCGCGAAATCCTCATAGCCGTCCACACCGCAGCATTTCTTGTACGACATGATGGCGTTCCAGCCGAGGGTGATGCTGTCTTTCCCGGCGTCTCCGGTGTAAGACTCTAGGGTCAGCTTCAGCAACTGCTTGACGGTGGTGTCGAACGGCGTCCTGTCGATGTAGGCGCAGATGATGACGACGATCTGCGTGAAGTAGAGGCAGGAGATGAGGACGAGGTAGACGATGACGAACTTGTAGAACTGGCCGGAGCCCGCGATGATGCCCAGGATGCAAATGGCCGTGATGAGGACGCCGAAGATGACCAGGACCACCCCTAGAGGTATCGTAATGAAGATGACGTCCAGGGCGCTGACGTCAAGAGTGGTGAGGCCCATGCTTTTGGCTGAGGTGGTCAAGTCGTCCCTCAGGAATTGGAGGTCACTGCCGTAAGCGGTTCTCCCGATTAGGAGCACCGCCCCACCGGCGATGCATGTTAGAGCAATTAGCTGGTGAGAACGAAGAGAAATAATGTTTTCAATGTTCATACAATTTCAAAAACGTTTCATTGCTCTTCTCCTTTGCTAGTGTTCGATTTTACTTTTCCCTATTTTACAATTATGTTTCACTTACGTGCATTCTTAGTTTTTAATTGAATGAATTCATATCAGCAGAGAAAAATTTTGGGACTATTAAAAACTGAATATTTTGCCCTTACTAAACTTGCATATAAAAAAAAACCGCTTATAGGTATTTTGAAACAAGCGGTATTCACAAAAATGAATAGTTTCATGTTAATATTTCTGTCTACTTTTTAATAAAATGTTCTAAAGATACTCATGAATAATTACTAGAGTTGCTCTGAGCTACTCGGATCTTTAATAGATTGAACATAAGTTATTTTAGCCTTTTAATATTATAAGATTCATTTTATCCAAAGTGTAAACCTGTGCAACCCTACCATACTTTGCCAATTCCTGGGGCTAAATCCAGAAAATAGTGATAGTGTTTTGTTTGTTACTTTTTTTATTATACAGTTTGTAACATACACACATGCGGATACTGTCGCTCAGACACCATCATACATATCTCTACAGCACACATTCTAACATACACACATGCGAAGACTCTCGCACAAACACCATCATACATATCTCTACATCACACATTCTAACATACACACATGCGAAGACTCTCGCACAAACACCATCATACATATCTCTACAGCACACATTCTAACATACACACATGCGAAGACTCTCGCACAGACACCATCATACATATCTCTACAGCACACATTCTAACATACACACATGCGAAGACTCTCGCACAAACACCATCATACATATCTCTACAGCACACATTCTAACATACACACATGCGAAGACTCTCGCACAAACACCATCGTACATATCTCTACAGCACACATTCTAACATACACACATGCGAAGACTCTCGCACAGACACCATCGTACATATCTCTACAGCACACATTCTAACATACACACATGCGAAGACTCTCGCACAGACACCATCATACATATCTCTACAGAACACATTCTAACATACACACATGCGAATACTCACGCACAAACACCATCGTACATATCTCTACAGCACACATTCTAACATACACACATGCGAAGACTCTCGCACAGACACCATCGTACATATCTCTACAGCACACATTCTAACATACACACATGCGAAGACTCTCGCACANTTCGATGTCACGAAGATGTTTACCGAAACTATCAGATAAGCTGCGCCGCGATTCTCCTCTATAAACTGCGGGACTTCCACGGTGATGGTTGTGTTGATATTGAATTTCGTCTAAATTAATATTTTCTTAAAAAAGCAATTTTGGCTTGTGCAGTAAAAATAATCTGAATGTATTTCAACGTTTAGGATCTAGAATGATCAACGCGTTGATCGCGGGCGCACAAAATACAGAAAAAGAAGAATTGTTAACTTTTTTCAACAACACTGAGATAAGACGCTGAAAATTTACCCTGAGGGATATTTTTGACCTCCCCTCTCCCCCCCCCCCCCCCCCCAAAAAAAATCCTTTCCATGCATGTTTCTAGGTAACTTTGATAAGACGCAATCAATAAGAAACAAATTAAAAATAATTAAAAAATTGGCAGATTTCTTTGTATTTGTGGATTTCAAATCTGTCGTTAGATATTATTAGATCAGATACATTCAATGACAATCAATGACATGTTAAAATTCAAATAAATAAAAGAATACATGTGCACATAATTAAATTATAAAATGAGTTTTAATAACTGAAACAGTGACAGATATTTAAATTTGAATCTTTTGACGGGCATCTCAAAACATAATCAATTCTTATCAAATAATGATCTTTAAAATGGATTTTACATTTTGATAAGAAAATAAAAAAACAACAACAAAAAAACCTATAAACAACAACAACATTTGAGTTACTTTACTGTGGGCAAACTAAAATCCAAATGGATTGATATTCAGATCGGATAAGATACTTACAACTCTGTGATGAAATCGTCCATGGAACGTCAAGTAAATATTTTCATGAAAGTCAAATGGCAGCAGCTCCCAATGGCGTCACTGGGTAGGCAATGACGGGCAACACTTTCAACCGTAAACTTTGAAACGCTATGGCAATCCATGATTCCGGTGGAGTCGTAAAACAAATGTTTTTGACGATTACGACTCGTGTTACACGATTCCGACCGGAGTTTCAGTACTCCGGAATATGATGTCATTTGTCCGGATTAATCTTTTAAGACATTAGATAAAATCAAATTAAAAATTTAAAAAACCAATCAAGCATGTCACAACATCCTGTAAGATTATCACTGTCTCTCCCCCCCCCCCCGGTGGGTGACCTAGCGATGCGATTGCTTATCACGATACTTATATCGATACTTGCATTTTTAGGTATGCAAAAGTACTAACTGTTACGATGAAATGAAATACATATAAATGACAGGCATTTCAAAGACCCTGACTTTCTTTTTATGACTATCAAAAAGAAAATCAATACTTGATTTATCGATAGATTCTGAGCCTCACTGATACAGGACTAACCGCGTTGAGCATTGCATGACCTGTGGGGCCATTTATAGGAGTGCCTGTCATGTTAGTCAATACATCATACAGTCGCGGCTTCCATGCCTTCCAGGGAGTTTAATAAAAGGACCAGATGATTTAAAGGCGCGTGGGTAGCTCTAGTAGGGGACAGAGCGAAGAGATTCTTATTATATTGCGATGGATTATCGATTTTTTTTTCTACTATCAAAAACGAAAAAGTAAAAATATCATCCCCGAAAACAATTCAAAAGTATAAGAATGTCCTGCCCCACCCCTATCCTCATTTTAAGCCCGCAAAAGTAATTAACCAATGTTCTTAGATTTTATTTTGGTATATTATTTGGTAAAATGTGGGATGAAGAAGGCACATAAGGACTGAGGCTATTTGGGGAGTGTTTGTTGATGTGTATGTGTTTGTGAAAACAAATAAATCTTGTCAACAACTTTATCATTTTTTTTTTTTTACGGATATTAATGGAAGTTTAACCTCCTGGTTTAACCACGTTTAAAATTAATGTTACTTTAATTTCGGAAAGCATTAATTTTATTTAATGGACAGAGAGGACAGATCATTCCACGGCTTACACTATGACCTATAACCTTTGAGCCTTAAGGGCATTAAATATTTCTGAGAGCTTGTTAATACTCACTAAGATTTTTTAAAATCAAAAGATTTAAAAGTCATCTGACATAAAATGGAACTATTTGGAAAACAAATGACACGTGACGTGCGTCGTCACTAAAAAAAAAAATAAAAAAAAAATATGTCTCCGGTTTTACTAAAAGAAAAAGACTTATCGATCTACGCCACACAGTCGCCACACAGTCGCCACACAGTCGCCACACTGTCACCACACTGTCGCCACACTGTCACCACACTGTCACCACACAGTCGCCACACTGTCGCCACACAGTCGCCACACTGTCACCACACTGTCGCCACACAGTCACCACACTGTCACCACACTGTCGCCACACAGTCGACACACTGTCACCGCACTGTCGCCACAATGTCACCACACTGTCACCACACAGTCGCCACACTGTCGCCACACAGTTGCCACACTGTCGCCACACTGTCACCACACAGTCGCCACCCTGCCGCCGTACTGTCGCCACACTGTCACCACACTGTCCCCACACAGCCGCCACACCGCCGCCACACACACACTTTCGCCACACTGTCCCCACACTGTCGCCACACTGTCGCCTCACTGTCGCCACACTGTCACCACACTGTCACCACACAGTCGCCACACTGTCGCCACACTGTCGCCACACTGTCGCCACACTGTCACCACACAGTCGCCACACTGTCACCACACTGTCGCCACACTGTCGCCACACTGTCGATGAGCCGCTCGAAGCGAAAGTGAAAACACAGGGCCTGCAACACGCATGGCCCCACTGAAGTGGGTCGGTTCTTCTCAGACAGCGGTCCACGTCTTGTGTCTCTCGTGAGTCACCCGGCTTTCCCTTATCATTCAGGCTTTTCCCCAACCGGTGGATATTTGCTTATTGCTTCAAACTGAACGCTGTCCTCGTAGTATTAGACCTATCACTTACCCCTGACGGCTACCATTTGTTTATGTAATATTAGACGTATTACTTACCACTGACTGATACTATTTGTTTAAGAAGTGGCTATTCGTACCAGGGTACCAGAAGTGAGAGGTTGGCATTAAAAAATCTATTTAAAATATTATTTTTGGGTTTTTAAGTCAAAATGAGGTATCAAATGAAAGATAATTGAATGGACTATATGTTTAGTAAACTTACTTCTTCAGTTCAACTAAAATAAACTACCACAAATGACATCCGAATAGCATTGAGTCTAATGGGACCCAGGTCCGAATGGCGGTGCTGCTTGTCCGGGTCAATTTTGAAGGTTTCTTAGCTCTTTTGTGTTGTCTTCCCCCCCCCTCCCCCCCGTCTTCCCCCCGGGTTTTCACCAACCTGCGTATATTTCTCATTACGTTAGCCTGGACGCAGTCCCTCCAACATTAGATTCCTGCTTGAATATATTATTGTCTCCTATTAGTCCGATACACGATTGTTTTAAAACTAATTCTCTTACTTATTAGTCTATAAATTAATTTTACAGTTCAAAATTCTTCAAACAGCCATACAGTTAAACATTTTCCGAAAGCTCCATTTACAATTTAAACTTAAACAAATCTTAAGAACTGAAATCAAAATAAATATTCTCCCAGCTCCCATACACGCTTTATAATTAACAATCTTTGAGACCCCGATTCAATTTAATTTTCTCGGACACACAAAATAAACATGTTTTGAATGCCCCACCCCCACCCCCTAAATAAATCAATCTTTATTCACCTAAAAAGCCTTAACTTTCACGAAATATTTCCCCAAAAAGTAGATCTATTCCGTGACCCCATTTCTAAAATTCCGAAATATCCTGACTCCCATTCCAGCTCTCTCCGACTCCATTTCTCTTCAAGTCTCCAAGAGATCTAAGCGGCATTTTTCTCTTCCATTCAACTGCTTACAACCACCAGTCCAATCTCAAATCTTGTGCTCCCCCCCCCCTCATACGGCACAGTGAAACAAAACACAACAAAAAAAGTCAAACAAATTAAAAAAAGCGTTCAAATGTCTTAAAAAAAACAACAGCTCTCTCCGACTCCATTTCTCTTCAAGTCTCCAAGAGATCTAAGCGGCATTTTTCTCTTCCATTCAACTGCTTACAACCACCAGTCCAATCTCAAATCTTGTGCTCCCCCCCCCTCATAAGGCACAGTGAAACAGAACACAACAAAAAAAGTCAAACAAATTAAATGAAGCGTTCAAATGTCTTCACAAAAACACTCGAATCGTTGCACCGTATAGTAAAGCTCCGATTATGTTGACATTCGTAAGACTGCTCGTTAGGTTGTTCAGCCAAGCGTTGCATTTCAGTTAAAATTTAATCGATAATTCAAACTTTGCTTTCAGCTGTCGAACATTTTTAAATTGAATATAGGTTTAAAAAAAAAAAAAAAGTGAAGTTTTGAAATAGTCGAGTCGCTAAAGTACAAACAGGTGAAACACGATGCATAAAACTGAGTGACATCGCATAATCTAATGTACGAATTTAGTATTTAAAACCGCATTCTTAAATGTACGTTAATCTATTTTATGGGTAGAGAACAGCGTTAAAGATATTAGTAAATGAAGGACTGCGTTCAAGCTTTGTAAAGGAAATAGTGGAACAAGGTCTGTGGAAGCTTGACATAGAAAGACAGGACAATGAAAGAAGAACGTTTCGGCTAAGAGCCATCCTCGACAGACAGGATACATGAAAATACTACAAGAATATATGTTGTCTTACAGTAGGGCACTGAAATAATGACTGCCTGGGGGGGGGGAACTAATTACTTGCTATAGGACACTGAAATAATGACTGCCTGGGGGGGGGGGAAGATGACTTACTAAAGGACACTGAAATAAAGACTGCCTTGGAGGTGGGGACTGATGACGTAATATATGACACTGAAATTTGCTGTTTCCGTTGGGGGGGGGGGGGCAATAAAAAAAATTCAGGCTACCAGGCTAGGGACAGCTCCATCTGCTTGATTTTCAGTTTCATGTACCAGAGTAGGAGAAACACAAAATATCGACCATGGCCATGTGGGTAATTCAGAGGTTTTTCAAAAAGCACACGCAGACCGAGGTAGTTACATTGACAAACTTTAGCGCACGGACACGCGTACTATAGAGTAAGTCCGAGACACGAGATACCGTCTCTCGACACTTGTCAATAAGACAGGATCACTCGACTGAGAGACAGCACCACGATTTGCTATATTCAGTCACTTTATAAATAAATATCTGTGTGTGCTTGCGTGCGTGTGTGTGTGTGCTTTCGTGCGTGTGTGTGTGTGGGTGTGATTGTGTGTTGTGACCAGCACTGCACACTCAAGAGAATGCCATCTACTGACACATATTTTATATCATCAAAATGTGCACATACAAACACCATTCTTTTACGACGCATTCGTTTAGCTAAAGCTTTGATGAAACTATCGAGCGTAACAACATGACAACGCACGTCATTTATGGCTACACTTCTCTTAATAAATCTATGTCTAATGCCCCCAACACGCATGTGTAGTATGCGTTTATTGTATGAGATTCCCATCAGTGTTTCCTTGTTCCTGTTTATCATCATACATGTTTAACGTTAAAGGTTTTTTAAAAAGAATCTATAAGAAAAATGATTATAAGTAAATGTACGGACGGTCGGCGAACTTGTTTGGGACTGTCTGGCCGTGTCGACTTAAATACTAAGTGTGGGTTGAAAGTTTCAACCAGAAGGATACCAAGAAAAAAACAACGTCAAGAAATTTCTGATAGATGAAGCTCATCAACCTCGGATAGTGGAAAATCAACCTCGGAAAGTGGCTCATCAACCTCGGAAAGTGGCTCATCAAGCTCGAATAGTGGCTTGTCAATCTTGGATGCTCGAATAAATGGCTCATAAGCATAGGAAAATGGCTCGTCAGTCTTGGATACCCGAATATTTGCTCA